CCATATTCACTCACCCGTCGCTGCTCTGTTCCCTGCTCTGTGCACGCACCCGGCCCAAAAGCCCATCCGGGTTCACTCCCCGTTTCTCTTGCTACCTAGTTTTCCTCCGCCCTGCACCTTCCCTCTGCAGTCCGCCCACTGCTAGTCTCCTCCGTTGCCTTAGTGCTCCCGTCACCTCAATCCGTCTCACGTCCTCGCCCCCCTTCATATCTCCACAGTGGCCCTCGTTGAGCTCCGCATGCACCTAGCGCCCCTTCAGAGCTGGGTTCGCTCGGCTCTCCTGCACAGTCCCCTCACCGCAGCTGCCTGGCACTGTCCGGCTTTGCCCGTCCGCTCCGCTACGTGCCCCGCTGCGCTATCCGGCCAGGCCCACTGCCTTAGTTCGCTGCCCCTCGCGCTCGTCCGACAGACGTTCCGCAGTGGTCCGTCCGTCGCCCCCTCCCTGCTCCTGGGCGGCACTAAGTAAAGGTCGTCGGGGCTCGTAGGGAAAGGGGACCGAAGGGGAGGCACTGTGACTGGCCCATCAAGAGGCCTGGCCCGGGTGCTACCGATTGGCCCCTGGTCTGTGTCGCCTGCTCGCTGTAGAAGTATCGCACATTGCTGGTGGGTGTACCCTCCTCATGTTCCTTCGTTAGGGGCTTAAGCACGGGAGTGGCTGCCACGTGGTTACTTCGACGCGGTCACGAAAAACAACCTATAGTAGCACTTCAGACCACGCCTTGAATACAACACACCTCCATGCAACCGCCCCAGACCCAAAGCGTGGGTCGTATGTATTCAGCATTACCGACCCTTTTGCCCCAAGTGCAGTTACAACCCCAAGCCATGACCGTGCCCTGTTCTCAACAGCGGCGTAATAGACTACTTTCGGCAGCCCCCGGAACACGTTGACCCGTCAAACGGGGCGTAACGGCCATTAAGTTCGACGTGGCGTCCATGTCAACAACACGTCGGAGCATAAAAGGCAAAAATAAAAAAATATGACCCTAAAATGGAACATTTTAAAAAAAACACCACCGATCGCGCGTCGCCGTCGGCCAAACCAAGGGGGGACAACCCCCGCCAGACCCTCGACCCCTAGGTTCATTCACGCTACTCTAATAACCGCTTGTCACCGCCGCTCGATCTCGATCCTTGAATCTCTCAGATAGAAGTCCGACTCTGTAACCAATAGCGCTAGGTCCACGTCTGGGTCTAGCTTTGACGGACGTCTACATAATCGAATACTGTGCGACGCGCACACGTACGGAATCGCTTTCAAAACCACCCAGTTGTCGATGTCGTCCTCCTCACGTACGCACAAGTCACCGGTAAGTGCACCAGTCAAACGACAAAAATCTATTTAATCCTAGTTTTATCAAAGGTAAAAATCCGACCGGCGATCCCGCCGCCTCTTCAATCATCAACAAATAAAAAGATCACGCGTGCCTCAAAAATTTGCGCGCCCACACGCTCCCTACTCTAATCAGCCACTCAGTCAACATAACCCATAGACTCAGCCGCGCCTTGCATGGTATACTTAGACTTTAAATCAAAACTATTTTTTGTCGTCTGCAAAAACCAGTGCGGATACCCTTGTAAGGGTATTCGCACCGACACCGCCATGAGCGGCAATGGAAGGGGGCATTCGAGGGAAAGGGGTCTATGGGTGCCGTGGGGTTGGGTGACTAAGGGTGTTGCTTGTAAAAAAATAGACATGCGGTGATGACGGCCCGCCGTGTTTTTTTTTGTTTTTTTTTTCCCTTTCTTTCTTAAAGACGGGTGAACCGCCATAAGCGGCAACGCAAGGGGGGTTGGGGGGAAAGGGGTCTAACTTCTAAGGGTGCGGCAACGACGGCCCGCCGTGGGGTGTATTCTTTTTTTATTTTCTTCTTTCTTTCTTAATGACGGGTGAACCGCCATGAGCGGCAATGCAAGGGGGGGTTAAGGGGAAAGGGGTGTATGGGTGCCGAGGGTTGGGCGAGTAAGGGACCTAAGGGTATTGGTTGTAAAAAAATGGAAATGCGGTGATGACGGCCCATCGTGGGGTCTGTTTTTTTTTTTTTTTCCTTCTTTTTTTTTCTTTCTTAAAGACGTTAGGGGTCTATGGGTGCGGCAACAACGGCCCGCCGTGGGGTGTTTTTTTTTTTTTTTTCTTTCGTATTTCTTTCTTAATGAGGGGTGAACCGCCATGAGCGGCAATGCAAGGGGGG